TTCAACCTAATCAATTACAAATTACAAACCAAACTAAAATAACAATAGCATTATTAATGTAAGTAAAAATTGCGGATCTAATAATTCTGATTAGTCCAGTCAAAATAGGTTAAATAAAAATAAAAACTTATAGTTTTGAAATTTGGCCAAAACGTTGGACGTTCCTCTTGCTTGAACATATCCGAAAAACCCTATATGTGGGGGGTGCGCTATATGCCAGCATTTTTTAGGTCACTTATTTCGGTTTTTCTCCAATATTTCCTAGCCACATATATTTCCAAAATTAAAGCGATCGTTTGGTGGTAGAAAACTTCATTTCAATTTCCTGCAAAAAAACGTAGAAAAAGTGGACGGTAGATTATCTTCTTCAACCGAAATCGTTTTATTGACAAAGACGGTTATTTTTATAAGCAAACGTCAAGTGACATTTCCATGGCAATTATGGAATTACGAACACACCACCCACTAATTAGGCATGTATTCGAGTATAACGTTAATATGATTTCATTGTATTTCCCTTATTTATAAACTAGATCGGTACGGAACTCGCTTCGCTCGTTCCGGCCGATCACGGCGTTTAATTAACAATCGCCGTTTTGTGTGGTTTACCGTTTGTCAATTTTTTGTTTTTTTGCTTGATTGTTTTGATAATGTAGTTTGAACCGTGTTCTGTGTGGTTAGAATATTGTAAAAGGCGAAAAAAGCAGAAAGAAACTTGTTTCGGCTCAAAATGAACTAATATATTGATACTCTCTTTTTTAGTCAATCTCATCCTATAGGTTGGTAAAAATGCTTTGCATTTTAAATCTCCGCTAGAGTGAGTTTATTTCTCACAAATACCGCCGAAAATAAGAATGTTGCGTTTTGCGCACAACACGACTTTTTGCGTATGCGTTTTATTTGCTTTTATTTGATGGACTTACCATCCATTTCGCTCAAATTGCTTCATAAATAAGACAGTTGCGCTCTCCGCATGCGCAATACGAGTTTTGAAAAGCGCATTTCATTTGTTTTTGTTAGGACCCACAGAGTTGTACTCGTATATAGTAAATAGAGGAGCTTAACACAGGACCTGCGCGTTGCAAAATTAACTCCAACTACAGTGGTCACATACTTATATAGTTTTAACGGCCAAGGCGTTGTGGCGCATTCGCGGTGCGTTTTGCTCGCACCTACGTTGTTTATTGGTCACTATATCTTCATCCGGTTAGTGCGCACACTCGTCAACGGCCTGCGCAAGATCAAATTGGAGTGAATTTTATGCAACAACACTGTCTCTCTATTTATTACATACAACTCTGTGGTAGGACCTAACACCAAAGTTTCGTGCAAATTGCTCCGTAAATAAGTAAGTTGCGTTCCGCGCAACATACATGAAACCCTAATGTAGATGCTAAACAGTTTCACGCTTATATACAACCGTTCACACATTGCACGGCTTCGCTCCGCACATTGACACACAAAAGAAGATATCGCTCGACTTCGGCGGCTGCGCCGCCTCGCCTCACGCATGTACCCAAGTTGCCTAGGAATCTAAAATATGAACGAACACTTTAGGAGACCAATGTAAAAAATTTGCTGTGGCCAGCAGCACAGATAACACACGCACACCTGCACATGCGCGTTTCTGCCCAAAATCTGTTCAGATTTTCCTTTTAGGTCTAGGCATATGTGTACCAAATTTGTTTGAGTACAGACCGACCTCCAATGCAATACCTTCCTTACCAACGTAAATGTGCGGGTTGTGTCAAAGTGTCTATATACACATCTACAAAATTTGGTACAATTCGACGCAAAAGTTTCGCCATAATATTAATTTAACATTTTTGACACCTTACGCATGCGTGATTATGCCCAAAACCTTTTCAGCTCTTCCTCTTATGTCTGAGAATATGTGTATCAAATTTGGTTCCAATCGATTAAGCCGTTTAATCGGAAATGAGAGTACAGACGGACCGACAGACCGACATCATAGAGATTTTGTTTGATTCGGATACCTGGTGCTTCAAAACGTGTATTTTCGTAAAAAAAAGTTGGGGGTCATTTTTTACCACAATGCAATAACTCCCTTACTAACGTGCGGGTGGTAAAGACCGTATCATCCTAACCCTCGGCGTCTCCCAATAAACGCCAAAATATGAACAAACTGGCTTCTGTATGCAATTGGAGGGCATAACACCCTAATGTAAATGGCACCCAGTCTCACGTTTGTATAGAACCGTTAACACATTGCTCGGCTTCGCCTCGCACATTAACACACAAATGATGATGTCACCGTTGGATTCTACAATATGGAATATTTTAGTTCTAGGTAAACTACCTTTTCCGTTCACATTACGCTAAAGTGTTATTAAGAAAAGTTGTTCAGAATGAAAAGTTATAGCGTTATGCAATCAATCAATTTTCAAAATGATTGGCCATACTTTGATAAAATCCAGTATGGGTCAGTTTTCTTGTGTGTACTGCATTTTATCAAAGTACGCCGATCATTCTGAAAATTTGCATAACGCCATTATATTCCCTTTGTCGGTATACACTTCCGATGTCCCGTTCTCTTCCAATGCGCGTTTGAAGATTGAAGACCAACAGTAAGATCGTGTCGGGGACTACCACATTCCCTTTGACGGTACCCACTTCCGACGTTCTGTTCACCCACAATTCGCGTTTGATGATTTGACTCCACCATCAGGAAGATCGTGTCGGAGGCTATAACATTTCCTTTTTCGGTGCATCTACTTATACTTATATTACACCCACATTTTGGTGGATTTCACTAAAAACCTTCCACAAGATTACTTAATAACTTACTTACTTAATTTTTGGGGGCACTTCTCGCCATAGGTATTTCAGTGGTATTTTAATTATGTGGAAATGTTGGCTTCCCTTTATGTATTTTATGTTTGTTGTAGAGAATGAATTCTGCATCTTTCCTGTCATTATTTCTAATTTTGCATGTCGGCAATGCGTACAAAAATCGGGATTTAAAATTCCATTGGCAGAATTTGTTGTTCGTTATGAATTGCATTGTCATTTTATTTGCTTTTATTAGAAGGTAGGCCCGAACAAAATTGCGTGTAAATCGCTCCATAAATAAGAAAGTTACCTTTTGCGCATGCGCAATGCGATTTTTAAAAAGTCCATTTTTATTGCTTTTGTTAGAGAGACCCAACACCAAAATTTCGTACAAATCGCTCCATAAATAAGCAAGTTACGTTTTGCGCATGCTCAGCACGATGTTCGAAAAGTGCATTTTGTTTGCTTTTGCTAGAGGAACCTAAAACCAAAATTGTGTGTAAATCGTTCCGTAAATAAGAAAGTTGCGTTTTGCGCAGGCGCAGTGCGAATTTTGAAAACTGCATTTTATTTGCTTTTGCTAGAGGGACCTAAAACCAAAATTGCGTGTAAATCGTTCCGTAAATAAGAAAGTTGCGTTTTGCGCAGGCGCAGTGCGAATTTTGAAAACTGCATTTTATTTGCTTTTGCTAGAGGGACCTAAAACCAAAATTGCGTGTAAATCGTTCCGTAAATAAGAAAGTTGCGTTTTGCGCAGGCGCAGTGCGAATTTTGAAAACTGCATTTTATTTGCTTTTGCTAGAGGGACCTAAAACCAAAATTGCGTGTAAATCGTTCCGTAAATAAGAAAGTTGCGTTTTGCGCAGGCGCAGTGCGAATTTTGAAAACTGCATTTTATTTGCTTTTGCTAGAGGGACCTAAAACCAAAATTGCGTGTAAATCGTTCCGTAAATAAGAAAGTTGCGTTTTGCGCAGGCGCAGTGCGAATTTTGAAAACTGCATTTTATTTGCTTTTGCTAGAGGGACCTAAAACCAAAATTGCGTGTACATCGTTCCGTAAATAAGAAAGTTGCGTTTTGCGCAGGCGCAGTGCGAATTTAAAAAGGGCATCCTATTTGCTTTTGCTAGAGGGACCTAAAACCAAAATTGCGTGTAAATCGTTCCGTAAATAAGAAAGTTGCGTTTTGCGCAGGCGCA